GTTACAAATGGTGAAATGAGAAGCTGAAGTGCTTAAACTTATTTTGCTATGCAACATCTAAAATGAATCAGTATTCAAATCATTCTTCTCCACATCCCTCCAAGCCAGACTAGAATATTAGCATGCTCTTACATTCCTTTTCAGGCTTGTGTGTTGACTCTATCTGGCACTTATTTTTGTCTTTTAGTTAGTTTTTCAATTAAGTTTACTAAAGTTTTTTATTTTGTAATGACTTAGATTTACAGAAAGTTGCATTAACAGTAAACAGTTTTCCTCACACAGTTTTAGTTTTTCCTAACATTATTATTTTTTAAATATTTATTTTTTAGCCGTAATTGACACAATATTTTTATTTTATGTGGTGCTGAGACTCAAACCCAGGGCCTTGCACGTGCTAGGCGAGCATTCTGAGCCACAATCCCAGCCCCCTAACATTCTTATCTTACATTGTTGCAGTGTATTTTGTCAAAATTAAAGAACACTCAACTGAGTTCCAGACTTTGTTTGGATTTCACCAATTTTCCCTTGAATATATTTTTTTCTGTTCCAGATCTAGTCAAGAGCACCACATTGCATTCAATTGTTATGTCTCCTCTTGCCTATGGTTTCTAAGTCTTCCTTGTTTTTGATGACCTTGACAGTTTTGAGAACTAATGGTCAGGTATTTCTTCATCCCTGGATTAATATCTGCTGGGTTCCTGACTGACATTTTCTTGATTTTTTTTCCCTGGTACCAGGGATTGAACTCAGGGGCATTTGACCACTGAGCTACATCCCCAGCCCTATTTTGTATTTTATTTAGAGACAGGGTCTCACTGAGTTGCTTATCATCTTGCTTTTGCTGAGGCTGGCTTTGAACTCATGATCCTCCTGCCTCAGCCTTCCAAGCTGCTGGGATTACACGTATGTGCCACCGTGCCTGGTGCATTTTCTGATCTTACTTACATGTGAAATATAAAAAAGTTTAACTTAGAAGTTGAAAGTAGAATAGTGGTTACCCGAGGTTGGGGAGAGTTGGGAGAAAGAAGGGATGGGAAAAGGTTGATCAGTGAGTACTGTTATAAAAAAAAAAAAAGAATAAGAAGCTCTGATGTGCTATTGCACAGCAGGGTGACAATAAATAACAAAAATGTATTGCATATTTCAAAAATCTAGAAGAAAGAATTTTAAATGTTTTCACCATAAAGAAACAATAGATGGGGGCTGGGGTTGTGGCTCAGCGGTAGAGTGCTTGCCTAGCACATGTGAGGTGCTGGATTTGATCCTCAGCAACACATAAAAAATAAATAAATAAAATAAAGGTATTGTTTCCAACTTAAAAAAAAAGAAACAAGAGATGTTTAAATACATGTGTTTATCCTGATTTGAACATAACACCATGTATACCTTTATGGAAATATTATGATACCCATAAATATGTGTAATTTTTTTTTGGTGCTAGAGATTGAACCTGGGCCTTGTGCATGCAAGATGTAGTTGGACACAATATTTTTATTTTTATCTACCAACTGAGCTATATCCCCAGCCTCAGTATGTGTAATTTTTATGCATCAGTTAAAAATAAATTTTAAAAAAGTTAATTTTCTCTTTTTATATTATATAATTTGTGAGTGAGTTACCTAGCTCCACTTTCTGGAAGAGGGGTATTTACTACTCTGAAATTCTGTAAGTAAGATTCATCTCTTTTTCCCTATTAACCTAATGTAACTTATCCATTCATTTATTATTATTATTTATTTACTCACTTATTTATCTCAGGATGGACTCACAGATATTTATTTTATGCTTTAGGTAATAATTCAGGTCTAGATTATTTTGTTGCTCAAGTTATTCCATAGGAGGATTTTTAGTTGGATCCTGAGACTCTTTGACACATCTCCATCCTCTGTCATTTAAGACTGTTATTTATTGGTGCTAGAAAATGCTCTAAGCTCCTCTTGTATATTTCCTTTTCTAGTCCTACAATCAATTATTTTTCCAAGGAGCCTTGGTTCCTTTTATTGGAGAATAATATTAAAAAACAAGATTTGGGAACTGGTTATGTTTGTTACTATTGGGGTGTCACTGGTTTAGATTCTCTCAGCTCACAGAGCTAGGTAAAACACACCTATATGCCATGTATACACCCTTCGATTTTTTAATCCCAAATTGCTATTTGCTTTTTCAAAAGCAAAATACTTGTTTCAGCATAACTATTTAGACTTAATTGAAAGTTTTGTTTTTTGGTTGTTGTTTGTTGATCACTATTTTATTGTCTAGTCTTCCTCTCTCATTTTTCATTCTGCTAAACTAGATAAAAAGGGATCTGTGAGAAATAAATTTTGAGTCTTCAGTGTCCAAAATGTCTATTTTACCTTCAAATAGTAGGTCAAATATGGACTCTAGAATCAAAGATTATTTTTCAGAATTTTCATGGTGTTGCTTATTTTTTTAGCACCAATATTATCAAAAAGAAGGTTAATGTTAATCTGATTCTTACTTCTTTGTGGACAAGTTGGGTTATGCTATTTTTAGTGTCTCTGGAAGGTACCATGATTTTCCATTGATTGCTCTCAAATGCCAGGAAGATTTATTTTTCCTTATCTCTGCCAAGGTTTCTTCCCTATCCTCCCTGCCCCATTCTCTTTTGTTTTCTTTCTGGAACTTCTATTAAACAATCTGAGAGCTTCTGAACTGTTTCTCCATGTCTCATTTTTCTCTCTCATTATTTCTTGGTCATATGTGCCATTTCATCTGTGACGATTCCACTCTTCAGCTCATTTACTGATTTCTATTTTTTCATAATTTCCAAGTTCTGGTCCTTTTTTACTAAGAAATCATAAGATTTTAAGATTTTTAATGTTTTCTCTAATGATCATAAAGATAATATGTATTTTAAAGTTATTTTATACCTACATTCATATTCTCATGTGTTAATTTTTCTGTTTATTAAAATTTAATAGTACTGGTTTTCCTTAAACATTTGTTTAGTTTTGGTTAATTGCTACTTATTTTTGTTTCAAAAATCCATGGCTTTCAGTCATGATTATGGGGGACTATCTCCAGTAATAGTAGAATAGGGGCATAACAGGGTCACAGGAAGAATGTGCTCACAGTGGCTCATCTTTGGAGTCTAGCGGGGTTTCCTATCTACCCTGACCTGCCTCTCCAGCTCCAGGGACCACAGGCACTTCTGTGGCCTAATGGTTGATCCTTATGATGCTCAGCATGGGTTCCCTCTACTCCCTATCTGCTATGAGCTCAGAGAATGCAAAGCAGATTCATCTTTACTCACTGCTCTCCTGAACATGTTCTAGACTGTTCTCTCCTCTAGCAATCCTATGCCAACTGTTATAATCTGATAGAGGTTTCTCAAAATTTATGTCTACTGATGGCTTTTCTCATTTTCCAATATTAATGTACCTATTTCTTTTTAATAACTAATTTTAAAAGGATTGGGGGTATCAGATAAGGTAGATGTCAGTGCTGTTTGTCCTTCTAATTTAGTGTCAATATTCCTAAGTAATACTGGCCTACAGATAAAGTGGAGGGAAGTGTGTGTGTGTGTGTGTGTGTGTATGTGTGCATGCTCTACTATGTACTGATATCAAGATGAAATATCTTAAGTAGATTATAATGTGTTAGTATTACCTATTTGAAAGTATGGAAAAACTCATCAATAAAACATTTATGTATATACAATGTAACTTTTTGATAACTGCTCTAATTTTTTAAAAGGCTTTTAAGTTTCTTCACTTCTTATTTATAAAATTGTAACAAGAACTTCTCTTGTTTAATATTTTATAGATTCTCAAATCTTTCCTTCTATTTAGAATTTTTCAGCTTACTATGTAAACTTAATTCTGTCATGGATTCATATTCTAATTTTCAATGTAGTTTTTTTACCCGATATTTTCCCACTATATATACACACACACACACACACACACACACACACACACACACACATATATATGTGTGTGTATATATATTTTTTAAAAAATTTTTTTGTTGATAGACCTTTATTTATTTATTTATATGCAGTGCTGAGAATTGAACCCAGTGCCTCACACATGCCAGGCAAGTATGCTACCACTAAGCCATGGCCCCAGCCCCTGCCCACTTTATATTTACAAAAACGATTTTTTGCACATAAACAATAAGCTCCTATATTTGTCAATCTATTTTTACTTCATTCATTTCTACCTTTATCTTTCTTTCCTCCTGCTTTCCTTGGAGTTTTCAATTGATGATTTAGTTCATTTGTTTTTACTTTTTCTTAACTCTAACGTTAAAAGATTATACTATGTGAAATTTGGTATCTGGATCTTGGAGCAGAAAAAGGAGACCAGTAGGAAAAATGGTAAAATTCTAATAAAATCTGTAGTATAGTTAGCAGTAACTCACCAGTAGTAATTTCTTAATTCTGACAAATGTACTATGGTTATTTAAAAATTAAGGGAAGCTGGACTTACAGGAACTCTTGACTTTCTTTGTAAACTTCAATTATTCCAAAATAATGTTTATTTAAAAAATTAAAATGACATACGTAAGTACAGTTTGGTAACAACCATAAGTTTTGATATATGATTGTCTAAGTATAATTATTATAATTTTTCTTCTTAGTTGATTTGGCAGAGGAGTTTTAATTTCTAGTTAGTGGAGGTTTTTGTTTTTTGTGCAGGGCCTTTGCATGCTAGGTAGGCATTCTACCACAGAGCTATATGCCCACCCCTGGTCAGTAGAGTTTTGAAAAATTAAACTTTTAGTATTAGTAAAAATAAGTTGGCAAAAACGTATAATTTCAAATTCCAGAATATGAAGTTTTTCTTTGTAATCTAACTTTTCCCAACCCCTTCTCCCTTGCCAGCCGACAATTTTTAAGCAATAAGGCATTTTACTGGGGATTGGAAGTGTGAAAGAGACATGGGAATGTGTTTATAATAACTGAAACTCTGTTTCCTATTTGTACAACAAACTTAAAAAACAGCCTTTCCTAACTGGCAATGTAAAAGTCTTACCAGCTGCTGCTCCACAGGTGGTGGTGCATCCTGGTTGGCATAAACGATGGCAGGATTGTAAAGACTGAACACCACAGGGTAAAACACTTTTTTACCTATAAATTAAAATATATGTTTATATCATACAAGAAAGTTGTAAGATGAAGAATTGATCTTTATTACTCTCTATATATTGAGATTTTATTAAAGTCCTTTTGTAATCACATATGATTTTATTTTAGCAATATTTATTTTATCAATATTCAATCTATAGAACGTTATGTCAATTTGATGAACATGATGATGATTTTGTGACATATTGGTAGGTCAGGCTATGAAAACACAACTGCAAAAGAACAGAGATTAAAACAGACAAAAGGATGCTTCATATATTTATTCCCTTGAACTTTGGGGAGATACACAAATGAATTCTCTGAGCTATTAATTAGGTGATCCACCTATTACTCATTATTTCATCTAATTAGCAGCACTAGATGTAGATTAATAACTGACAATACCAAAAACTTAGAAACTTCAGTTAAATCTACCCTTCAAACAGAATAATCAAAAACAGTAAATAGGGCTGGGGTTGTGGCTCAGTGGTAAAGTGCTCGCCTAGCACATGTGAGGCCCTGGGTTCAATCCTCAGCACCACATAAAAATGAATAAATAAAATAAAAGCATTGTATCCAACTACAACTAAAAAAAATAAACATTAAAAAATTGCAAATACAGAGAATACTGTACAATGCATAGATATGTAGGAAATAATTAAAACAGAACTGCAGACAGATTTAAACTAAGATCTGGAAAAGCTGGGTTAGATAAGGATTAAAAATATCTGATGTTAATAGCCCTTACAGAAGACCTTGGCATTAGCTTTCAAACTGATAGCATCTTAAGGACCTTAAAGGATAACTGGCCCATTTGCCCTCAAAACAGAAACCCTGATATGACTGAATTCAATCATGGTAGCATGAAGTGCTCAATAACCGTCAAGCAGCCTAGAAGTGACAGCAGCCTTTTTACTATAAGATGCATAACTAATGAACATGACACCTTCATTCACATTCACTTAAGGGATAGGGATGCTCAACTTCTCAGAGGATGGTCTATTTCTGGATATAAAAATATTTTTTTTACACTGAGCAAATATGTCTCCTTCAACTTCCATGTTTTGAATTTCATGCTGTCTTAAGTAAAAAAAAAACATACCTAACCCACATTTACTCATTGGGTTCTGAGAGAGCTCCTGACAACTTTTCCCAATCAAACTCACTAATAAGAAATTAGTCATTTTTGTATACGAAGAGTTCCACATAAAAACATTTAATATGAAATTCTTTTATTTAAAAATGATTTAATTGAAAAATGTATATATTTATGGTATATAACATAATGTTTTGATGTATGTATATTCTGTGAATTGACTAAACCAAGCCAATTAACTATTACCTCATACACTTTTTATTATGGCAAGAACATTTAAAATCTATTCTCTTAGCAATTTTTAAGTATATAACACATTGTCACTAACTGTAATCACCATGTTATATAATATATATTTACTGAACTTATTTTCCTGTTGAGACTCTTTAATACAGAAAACTCTTGATTTTAAATTTAAAATAAAATTTGATTTATAAAACTGTCATTTGCTCATTTATTTTCAAAATATCTACAGCATAAAGCAAAGTATAGGAAACAACCCCAAAATGTATAGTCTGGAGACCAAATACTACCTGTATCCAGACCCCTGCATGAATGTGCACATGTGTAGATGTGTGCACATGCACGTGTATGGGGGTGGACTATCTGCCTGAGACTGGATATTTCTCACTCTCACATCTCCACACCATCTGTATGGTTCTTTTTCTGACCTGAGTTGCTTCCTCCTCATCAATTTCCAGTCTTCTATTCCTGGCCTTCTTTATTTGACTTCAAATGTAGCCAATAGAATTTGGTTCCAAGAGAACAAAAGATATGAATTTCAGAGGGTCAAATTTTCCAGTTAAATTATTTCAGTTAAATTATGTATTTTAGTTAAATTATACCTAACAAGAAAAAAACATCCTAGCGTTTAATTAAAATTTCCTTTTCCTCAAATTAACTTGATTCAAAACATGGGACATGCCAATGCTGTTCTAAATTCTAAATTCAGCTCATCTACCAACGTTTTACGCACCTGGCTCAGCATTTAATCGGCAGCTGTTAAGGAATTCGGCTGAGAAAAATATGTCAACATCACAGAAAAACATCAAGACCTCTCCCTTGTCCCAAGCTCTGGCACCCACATTGAGTCCTCGTCCACGATTAAATTCTTCATTCAATGAAACCAAGGTGTAATTGTGAAAATTAGACTCACTATGAGGAAAGCACATACAACAAATGCTAAGTCCCACTTAAAGTTAACAATGCTTTTTCTTCAATAGAACTTACAAAATGTCTTATACTTCAAATATTTTATTATGTTGGTTCTATATTCACACAAGGGAAAGGAAATCATCAGCTTCCCATCATCAGGGACAGATATTCACTAACTGCCCACATATGAGGAAATATGCTGGTGGTATGGTATGAGATTTCCAGTTACCAAGTGGCCACAGACCCTTAAAATTTTAAAAACCTACTGGGGAGATAAGAAATACACACATGGAAAAATAGCCATAATATTTGATGATGATGATGATGATAATAATAATAATAATAAATTCTGGGCATAGATGATACACACAAAGAGAGCTTTTCTGATATCTTTTAGGTCTCTGCATAAATGCCCCCTTATCAGGGGGATATTTCCAGATACCATTTCAGAAGTAGTCCAATCTCCCACTCTTTAATTTCCATCCTCTTCCCTGGCTGTTTTCCTTAGTATCACCAGACATGTTTGTGTGAATGTCTTCCTGACTCCATGAGAGTAGGGATTTTGTTTTGTTCATTACCATGCACACAGTGCTCCTCACAGAGTAGGAGTTCAATATGTATTTGCTGAATGAATGAATGAATAAATGAATAGCAGGTCTGGGAAGAGATTCCTTATGTGTGGAGTAGTTAGAGAAGATATTAGAAGCAGAACTTGAGTTATGCCTGGGTTAAAATCCTGAAGTCAGTGGTAAGTGTACAGGTCATTCCAAATAATTGTTCTCAAAAGTGAAAGAGGTAAGAAAGAAAGCATTTAGAGGTCAGACAAATCAGATGGGAACAAAGGGACCCTAACATGGGAACAATGAGAGGAGGCTCAGATTGAGGTACACCTATCATGCAAAGTTAAAGAACTTGGTCAGTATCCTAAAGACAAGGGGGGAGTCAGCAAGGTTTTCTGCTAGGACAGTGGTTCTCACCCTGAGACACTCAAACCCACAGCACCAGCACTCCCTAGCACCATATTAGATGCAAATTTTCAGGTTCCACCTCAGACACTGACTCAGAGGCCAAGGGTGGAACCAAGTCTCTGTGTTTCAGTAAGCCCTCCAGGTGCCTCTGACACTAAAGCTAGAGAACCACTGCACTAGGGATACAGCTGAATCAAAAACAGGAACATGTGAGGAAGATTACTCCTACAACAGTATAGCTTGGGTAATGGAGAGATGGAAGTAAAAGCTCAAATAATGCATGGATTGGACTCTAAGTGTTCTGGGTGTCCATATTCGTCTCCTTATCTTATGTCATATAAACCTTTCCTTTCTTTTGTGGAAACTGTCCATTGCCACCCCGCATGTCCAGTACCAAGTAAAACACTGATCACAGAATACCCTTCACTCTACCCGGCCCAACCACATAATGTCCTAGGAGTGGGGACCAGGCTCAAGTGGGGTCAATCACAAAACCCCCACCCCACCTGGCCAATGTGATTGGCTCAAGAGTGGGCAAAATGTCCTTTCCTGGGATTTCCTCAACGGGAGCTGGGAGAAAGCTCTTTCCTCTCTGATGGCAAAGCTGAGAAGATGTGAGCCCAGAGCCGCCAACAGCCATATCCCTCACCATGTGGAAGAAGCCAATCTGCAACAGGAGAATGAAGTCAACATGCAGAGAAAACAGACAAGATAATGACAAGAGAATTTTGATGGTATTTAATTCTCTGGTTCCAGTCACTGAGACCCAAAGTTGTTTTTATTTTTCTTTTCCAAATTTGGATACAACAATCCTTTCATTTCTGGGAGGTATTCAAGTTTCTTCAATAATGTTCCTATTTTCCTTAAGCAAGCTCAAGGTAAGTTTCTACCATATGCCACAGAAGTGTCTTTACAACATAGAGACAACTTCAGTAATATTAGGGTGAATGCTTGGTACTTAGTAGGCAATTGAAAAACAATAAGAAGGGAAGAGAGGGAGGGAAGAAATGGAGGGGGAACTGGGGTAGATAGTGGCAGTAGCAAGGAAGGAAGAAAGAAGAGGTCCTTTGACATAAGTAGGAAGTAACTCATCAAAGGCAATTACAGGTAAAGATGAGTAAAAGACTCTGTATCTCAAATGTTAGGTCTATGGCCGTGTGAAAATGGTCTGACTCTGAGCTGAAAGAGGGCCACACTGAACTGGTATAGAGAAGGGGAAGACAATGAACCCTGTTTATATATATCAAAGCTATGAGAGTCCCTGCAGGGTATAGATGTACTCAGCTATGCTCAGTCTTCTTCCAACTACCTCAGTCAGACTCCCAAGTAGTGTACCCCAGAATATAATAAGTAGGATTCAATCAATGTTAGTTGAATGGTTGGAGAAGAAAGGCTGGCCAAATCTAAACACTTAGGGAGTGACCAAAAACTAGCAGAAAGGTAAAGAAACAAGTAAGGTGTACAGAACTGGTATGATTAGAGAAGACACTCAACCAGTATATGTTATGACATATTACATTCACAAAATATTTGTTTTACAAACATAAGCATGGTTCAAGAAGAAAGCCCTGATTAGACTGTCAAATGTATAAAAGTGATTGACGAGGATAACAGAGAAAAGCTGCATTTGGTAGAGGGCTGTACCTTTGGACCTACAACTTAAGAGAGAAAAAGGCTGAGAACCTAAAGAGTAAAAAAATAAGTTTTAAAGATTACTAATTCATTCATTCAAACCTGAGCACCCACCATGTACCAGGTACTATATGGACTTCTCAGTTACAGATCTACTGTTCGGTGAGGTTTGGCTGTGAAAGAACAGAAACATAACAGTAGCTACTGCATACTGTAGAATTAGGTCTTCTTCTTCTTCTTCTTTTTTTTTTTTTTGTTTATTAAAGATATGGGGGACCTAAGTATCATTTATAGGGGGAGAAGAAGGAATAAAAGAAAAGTGACATGCTCAGAAGATGGTATCAAAGTGCAGGGATTAGGTTTAAAAAAAGGGAAAGCAGCAGCAAACATATAGGTAAGTGGGCCATAAAGGGAGAGCATCCTGATTTTGCCAGGCTGCCTGCTAACAATTAAAGGAAGATGAGTTGTGTAGGGTTGCTTGTGAAATGAGGAACATATATCATCACCATTTACCACCCACATGCTCAGTCAACTTCCTAGTTGTAGTTATTCAAAATTCTTCTTAATAGTAACTATTCAAAATTAATAACTCTTTAAATGTCTGAAATTCTTATTTTTCTAATAAAGTTATATGTCAAGGATTTTTTACTGTGGACATGGTTCACCAACCTTGCGACAGATTCTAGGATAGACTTGACTTTAGAGAGACCTTCTTTACCAAAATACACCACTGTGAGATGAATCCTCTTGTCCTGATGAATACAAACATCCCTAACAGAATTGAAAAATAAAGTTTGTTCAAGAACATATATAAGGCACTATTCAAAATGCAATCACATAAAGTTTCAACAAGAAAATGAATGAGGCACTACTGATAAAGAATGAAATCACATGAAGCATTAGGTAAAGGCATGAAGCCTATGTCAATGAGTATAATCCTCAAGGGCTATGGAAGGAATCCAACATTACTCTCATATTTCAAAACATTTGGGAAACTTTTACCTTGGGATTGATATTTAAGGAAGTAAGTTCAATGTGTTCAAAACCAAATAGACAAATATTTAAGTTTTGGATCAAGAATTATTTTGTCCTCAAACTAGCTAATACCAAAAATTTTATCTGTTATCAAGGAACAAATATTTGCCATCACTGAGATTATCCACTGTAAAGAAAGATGTAGCCTCTGAAGGTAATTTCAAGAAAGGTGATTTAAAAAACAAAGCTTCAAGAAATCAGATCTAAGTGGGGGGAGGTGGTGCATGACTATAATCCCAGAGGCTGGGGAGGCTGAGACAGGAGGATTGTGATTGCCAGCCTCAGCAAAAGTGAGGCACTAAGCAATTCAGTGAGACCCTGTCTTTAAATAAAATACAAAATAGGGCTGGGGATGTGGCTCAGTGGTTGAGAGCCCTTGAGTTCAATCCCTGGTACTGCCCCTTTTCAAAAAAAAATCAGATCTCATTTACAAGTCCAATTTCCAGATATTATGCTGCAGAATGGTGTTAACCAATCTTTTAATATGAGAATAAAGATTAGAATTAAAAAAGAACTAAACCTAGTGCATTAGAATAATTAAAAATGACAATTGTTAATTTAAAACAAAAGTCTTATTTTTCTTAGGTATTCTAATTCTTTAACACTTCAGTATTTTAAAATATCCAAATTTAATGACCAAAAAATAAAACCATAAATATTCTGCTTTCCAAGATGGAATGACTTTCTCCAAATTTTTGTTGAATACTTATATTTCTAAATTTATTTCAACCTTGAAACTCAAATTGTTCTTTAGAGGATTTTCTTGGGAGATAGCAACCTTTATATCTTGATTGCGGTGGTAGTTTGTGAATATACATTTGTCCAAAGTCATGAAAATATAATTTCTTATCCTTAAAACATCCTTAAAATTATCCTTATTACATGGATTTTATTGTATACAAAAATGCCTCAATAAAGTAATTCTTAAAAATTTAACTAGTCCTAAAATGAATTCACACACTATTATAAAGGCCATCAAATTTAGTTTGTAACAGTTGTGACCCTCAATTTACAATACGGTTGAAAATTTCAAGAAATACAATATATGATTCATTCTTAAAGAAAAAGGAGAATATAAAAAAGGAGAATTCCCCTAAAGCAATAAAATTATTCTATAATTCTAAGTAATCAGTGGAAATAAATTAAGCAAATCTGTGCAAAATGTTATTTTTTTTTAGAACTTAGCAAAATCATTAAGTCCCGACAATTACCTGAAGTTCTGCATAAACTGTGCAAATGCTTCAGTTCTTTCAGCAAGTGGCACAATGATATTAATAATTGATCTAGTAATGTCAATCATCTCACTCTTCACTTTCATGAGAGGTCCAAAAGGGCGGAAGAGGGTCACATGTCTATATTCCATAAGGTCTGCTTTCTTAAAAAAGAGTTCATACTGTGTTCCCTTATCTCTCTCAGTGCGATAATAACCTAAAGGAAAGAGTTTTCAAAGTCATGTTCATGGCAAAATTTATAAATTCAACAGGACTTTACTCAAAGATTGAAAGTATTAAACCAGATCTATAGAGTCTTAGTCTATTTGTGAAAATATTTATTCCCACTGTCTAGACAATAAAAACTATTCTTGAAGTAGAAGAGGGTTTTTTAAAAAAGCTTATCACCCTGTTATATTATTCAATCCATGAAATACCCTCCAAATGATAATTATTCCTTTATACATGACTTTAAAAATAATAGTTTATCATTACAGTAATCATATGACAAAGAAATTACTTAAAGCAATATTAAATTCTGAGCCCAAGTGTTAAAAAAAAAAAAACTTCTGTTGCTGTTCAGTACAAAAAAAAATGAATCGGGTGTCTTCATTGATATTTATATTAATAATATAAACAGACAACATGGTCTGAGTTTTGAGAAAGATAGGAAAAATAAATAGTAACAATACACTGAATATAGTGAAGTTGAAGAAAAATTAGTTTATATATCAACAGTGATTTGAGATGCTTTTAGGATAAAAGTATAGAAATCTACTGGGCAATCTAATTTTTTGCCTTTGCTGTTTATTATTTGTTGTTATTAATGCATTAAAATTTTACATAATACTAGGAATCCTTATTCCATATTTGTACATGTACATAACATAACTTGATCAATCTCATTTCCCAATATCTTTCCTTCTCCTCCTCCCTCCCCCTGATCCTCAGCTCTACTCTACTGGTCTCCTTTCTATTACTCTTTTTTTTAATTAGTAGATTATAATTATGTAAAAACATGGGGTTCATTGTGGTATATTTATACTTGGACATAATATAATATGGTTGATATTGTTTTCCAGTACTTTTTCACAGCAATCTGATTTTTAAGCATGACACTCAAGAGAGAAGTTAGACATACAAATGTTGGATCACTCAGTCAATATATGGTAATAAAATGGTGAATAAGATAGACTTGTCCCAACCCTCCTGAGGCAGGAAAATGAACCAGAAAATGGGCAATAACATATACTACAACAAGTCCTAGGAGAGAGGATGCAGTGTAGAGATGACAAAAGCATACAGGAAGCACTGATATCTTAAATTTGAAGCTGGAGATGACTTCCTGGAAGTGACACCTGAGCTAAAATCTGGAAGAGGAATAGGATCTACTCAGTGGTTGCCAGTATTATTTTAGGAGAGAGAGTAGTAGCATAGTGGAGAAAAAGTGATGTATGGAATATGTTTCATGCAGAAAAATATCCTGAAAGAAGAGTTATAAAATACACAGAAGTTGTAGAATATAAAACTGGCTCAGCTTCCTTTTTTTTTTTTTTAGGCAGATCTAATGTGTGGACAATTTATATGGTACTTAATTATCTTATTTCCTCTGCATCTTTCAATTCTGTCACAAATACAAACATAGAATAAGACAAAAAGTTGAGCTTGTGGAAAAATTAGAAGAGTTGTGAGAAAAAAAATAAAACCTTAAAAAATGTCAGGAAGTGATAGTAGAAAAAAAAAGGAACCACAGGGTGAAACTGCCCAGCAAACCACTATGTCCTGACTGATGGCTTCCAAAGGCCTCCATATATTATACTACAGTATGGTAAGTGATAGTCATGATAATTTGGAGTAAAACCAAAACAAAACAACAACAACAACAACAAAAAACCCTGCATGTGGTAGGCTGCTTATGAAATCAAGCAAAAAGAAATTTTAAGAAAGATTTATTTCCAAAATTGCTATTTAAGCCTGCAATTAAATATCTAGCAGAAGGTGTTAAAATTAAAACAAAAAAACATAAAATTTTTATGTTTTAAAAAGGAATATCAAGATCAGATAAGCGAGGAATGCAAATCATACACATGTAAATATACACACTGCTCAAAAGAGCTCTTCAGCTTCAATAGTTTATATTCTTGTACTTCACTGGTCCTTATTCTCAATTTTATTATGATCTCATTATAGCATTTTTCCAAAAAGTCACTTCAAATTCTTGGTGGAATTAAGCAGGTAAGAACTTAAATGTTTTAATACTGTGTGTAATAACTGACATGTCAGCATAAACACTAGCATATTGTCATAATAACACAACTATTTACCAATTTATTTTTCATATTACCTTCTATGAAGTCATTTTCATTAAATATAAGTTTCTCTCCCAGGGGACCCTCCTCATCTTCCTGTTCATCATCTTCATCAGGATTATTAATGACCTCCAAGCCAGCTTCAATAACGTCTGTCAATTCATCTCGTTTGTCTTTTCTAACCGGCTTTTCTTCAGGATGTCGAGTGAGACCCATTTCCAACTGAAATACTTTCATTAAAGTAAAACTTTCAAAAGGAATCACCCCATACTCACTCGGTAGTTTGGCTCCTGTGCTAACTTCAGCTTTGTCAATCTGGGAATGAAGAAATTCTAAAAGATCGCTAGGTGCTTGTTCTTTGTTGCCTTGATAGCCTATGCCATTAGCCCCTATATTCTTTCTCTCTTGTAATGATTTCATCTTCTCACTCATTTCTTGTAATTCTTGTTTTAGTTGGGCGATTTGGCGTTTCAGACTGGTTGCCCTGGTTTGATAATGTTCTTCTTGCTCCTGTAGGAGGGCTTGATAGTACTCTTTACCATAATTTTCTCCGACAACACCAGGAAGAGATGCATTTCCATCAGTCTGAGGGGCACACTCCAGAAGGTACATAAATAATACCAAACTACAGAGCAAAGCCAGTCCTAACAGTAGCCAGTGGGTCCGGGTGTGAAGGATTGATCCTCTTCTAGACATTCTTATTAATGTGTATTTGCCTAACAAGATAAGTTGCTTCTTCATACCTTTAGCAAAAGGTAATCAAAATTAAAAACAAAATCAGGATTTCCATAAAAGGTACCAAGATGAATTCTGCTGTAGCTTAAAAAAATTGTTTTCTCAGTAGTCATGACTACTTGTAGAAATGAGAAATTAAGTATACTTCCTGTTTTGTTACCATGAAATCCAGAATAAAACAATCTGAACTATAAAATCCATTATATGGGTAGTGAGCTTTCTGAAAGAAACAGATCAGAATCAATCAGAATTTTGTTTTCTTAAGAAAACCAAACTGTTGGTAGCTTCAATAAACTTATATGTTCAATAAACTATATGTTGAGCATCACTAGAAGCACAAATATAATTTAGAATATTGGTAAGTACTTGGAGAAATTATTAAAATGCCTTTTAAAATTCTAAAATACTATGTATAATACTTTTAAACAGTATGGCTATCCACCCATAATCTCCTGAATCACAGAAACATTAAGATTACATTCATGATTTGCATTCTATAGTTTGTGTTACATAGATTCTACTGTTTTCTAATTATTTTAATTAAATTGCTTATAACTCTGTATTAACACAATATTTAAACTAGCATACACTTAGGAATTGAATTTCTATAAATTGTTTCTACCATAGTAATAATGGTTTTCGTGGGAGAGAGTTTTTTCCAATTTATTTGATTCAAATATTCTACCTCATTAATTTCTATTGCTCAACTCAGCCAATCTAGGAATATTAAAATTAAGAGTGTGTGTATGGCGGGAGGGGGGGCAATATCAAAAGGTCACAGACAGCTGAAAACCATTAAGAAAACATTTTTATGTCCAAAGTTCTCTGGTAGATTATTGGAAGATTAGATCACATAATTCTTTTCACTGTATTACACAGCAACAGATTTCCTACAAGTTTGGAAAGCTTAGTGTCTATATAAAGAAAAAATATGAATATTTTAAATATGTTTGAGAAAAAATTCAAATACCATTATAAATTTACAAAATTATATGCTACCTTTCATGCTACAACTAGTTGTATAAGCTATTCTGTATCTATTTCTAAACTAAGGATTTTTAATTCCAGAAGTAGAGAAGGTTAAGCTTAGAAGAGAAGAAGCAGGGAGGCCTTCCCTGCAAAAGAACTTCCATTCTTACCAAGTAATTTATCAAGAAGGATAATGTGTTGACTGCAAATATTTTATGGTAATGGTTTCTCCAGTGCAGTAGAACCTATGGAAGAAGATGACTGGGAAACATCAGTCTTAGTCACTTTCTTAGTGATTAGGAAAGCCTGGATGCCTCTGTGGAAAATGCTCCAGTGTACACATTTTTGTGGCACATATCTGTTTAAAATGTAGGATAGAAGACCACAAATAATTAACTTAACTCCCTTTAACCATTTATTATTTTAATAAAACAAATAATAAACAAGTATCTTGAAAAATTTAATTCATTACAACAAAGTCTTTTACTATTAACAGCCTCTTTCCCACTGATTGTAAATCTTAAATGATGTTGAAAAAAATAGGAGACATTTTTAGTTTCAAGAAATACTACCTAAACTGGGTGTGGAAGCACATGCCTGTAATCCTAGTGACTCTGAAGGTTGAGGCAGGAGGGTGGGCAAGTTCAAGGCCAGTCTTAGTAACTTAGTGAATCCCTAAGCAATTGAGTGAAACCCTGTTTCAAAATAAAAAATAAATGGGACTGGGGATGGTAAAGTGCTCCAGGTTCAATCCCCAGTCCAAAGAAAAGAAAAAAGAAATCCTAATTTAAAAATAAATATGCAAAGCTAATATTAGTTCTAGGAACTTAGCATGCCTCAAAACCATAATCATTAGCAATAAGAAATCACTTGAATGTCATTTTGAAAAGAAAAACTGAGAGGAATTTCTTAACTATTTGTAAGTTATTATCAGCCTACTTGTTAGGGAAAAGAAAGGCTAAAATTGAAAATGTAGAAACATAATTTGTATAAATTATTATTAAGGTAGACAGACTTAACCATAGTACGATTATATACTCAAACAGTTTGGGAGTAAAACTTTATAAAAGAACCAAAAATATATAATCTAAATACCACTACCTTTTATTAATAGGGTACCTCATAGCTTTTTTTTTTTTTTTGGTATGCAGACAATATATTTTATACTGTGAGCTATGACTTAAATGGGCCACTTGTAAAGGTTAACTTTTCAACAGAATAAAAAATATCAACGTGAATCACATTTAGTAGTAAGTTTTGTGTTGTGATTATATATGTGCATATGTATGAACTTTTCATGTAAAATGTATTTATAACTGGGTTGCAATTCAAAAATCCTGGAAAAAACCCACTGATTTAAAATGTATTTTTATACATTCTCCATACAGTTTTTTCAGGATAGCACTGTTTGATTTGAGATGGTTTACATACTATTTAACCCATTTTGCTCCATCATTCCAGATGTGGAACACCTATAAAAATTTAGATAGTGTATAGAATTACACAATACGTAATATAATAATTATAAAATAATAATATAGAATTATACAATATGTAATATAATTTTAATATTAATTATTATATTTAAGTTCTAGATTATTACTTCCAACCAATTTTAATGTACCTGTGCCAATTTCATTGCACTATGCACAGAATTGAAAACTTGTGACTTACTTAATAGGCTAATATTATAGCAGAATGTTTTCCACTGAAATGGAAGAAAAGCTGCTGTAATTGTCTCAGAATGTAAATGTTAGTTGCATAGTTCTGTGGTGATTGTCTTATTTTTATGAGAAATTTCAATTAAAATCTTACTTGTTTAGTTCCTGTAGGAAACTCTTCAACCAAATCCTAGAAGACTAGTTTATAACAGCTCTAAATATGTTAAGAATATTAGAAAGACTAGGAGGAATGTGCTCACTGGTACAGTGCTTGCCTCACAAGGCCATGGGTTCAATTCCCAGCCACACAAAAAAGCAAAACAAAAAAATTCCATCTTGATTACTATCATACTATGCAATGTGTTTATATCACAGATAAGGTTTATTTACAGAGAAAGGGATATTGCAGAGATAAGAAAATGAATTGTTAAAGGAATGAAATATAAAAATCAAAGATTTCAGAAATACATAGCCAACCAAAAAGAAAAAAAAATTCCTCCCCCTCAAAAAGACCCCAAAATATGAAACAACAATTTTCAAGATATTCAACATCAAGTAAAAAAGGTCAGTGATCCTGGAACAAGAAACAAATGACTACCCAATTTACTGCCTAAGTTTCCAGCCCAGGGAGGGGAACTTAAGCATAGACCAGCAGATTTCCTGAGTTGACAGTCTGAGGAGACTAAGGCAGCAAGGGTTCAAAGGAGACAGTTAGAAAAAGAGAGAACTCCAGAGGTCTGAAGAAGAGACATCCTTTGGATATTCAGTGGAGTCCTGTTCAATGTAAGCTTATGGAGAAATTAATAGGCTGAGGAAAAGACCACAAAAAAATTTGAGGACACAGAACCTAGTATTCATGCAGGGCCAGAAATAGGCATGCTCTCACCAAACAGACTGGAAAACCTCAAAATTCATGGGGGAATTGTGTAAAGTATTCAAAAATGTCTTGCCTCAGTGATGGGAACTAATTAGCTCTAAACATGGCTCAAGTCCTACCAACAAATCTTAAAAACAAAACGTGAAAGGATCAAATTGTTTCCAAGTAACAGCACAAGCCTCAAGAATATTTATAGAAATATAAAAATACCACACAACAAAGTAAAATTTACAATATATGACATTCAAACAAAAATCACCAGCCATAATGAAAATAATCACTGACTAAAACTGATCTAGAACGGACACAAATATGAGAATTCACAGAAAATGACATTAAAACAGTATAATTGTATTTAAAAATATGTTCCTGTTCAAAAACAAAGTAGAAACACATATGACATTTTAAAAAAGATCCAATTTAAACTTTAGGAGATGAAAATTTCAACGCCAAGGTGAAAAATACACTGGATGGGATTAAGAGTAACTTAGATGTTTCAAAAGAAAAGAAAGTGAATTGCAGACACAGCAGTAGAAACTACTTCAGAAGGAAAAAGAACGAAATATATGAACAGAGCTGTGTGATGACTTCAAATAGTATAATATATACGTAATTGAAAGCCCCTAAGAATGGGGAGATTAGAATATTTAAAGAAATAAGGCTGAACATTTTGCAAATTTGATGAAAACTGTGAATACATAGATTTAAGGAGCTCAATAAACCTCAAGTGTAAGAACCATAAATAAAACAAGGCATACAGCCAGGCAAGGTGGTACACACCTGTAATTCCAGCTATTTAGGAAGTTCAGGCAGGAGGATTCCAAGTTCAATCCTGGCCACATAACAGACAAGAACTTATCTCAAAATAACAACAAAACCAAGGCATATGATGATTAAACTGCTCAAACTCAATGATCAAAAGAATCTTAAATGCAGCCAGACAAAAAGCATGTATCATATATAAGAAACAAAAGGCAATGATGTCAGATTATAGATTACTCTTGGAAACAATGCAAATGAGAAGACAATGAAGCAATATCTTTAAAAAACTGAAAGGAATTTCCCATTACACAAATTTTGGTCTCTCTTGTTAATAGTTGAATCTATCAAGCTTTTCCTAAATGACTTTTCAATTTTAGCCTCCCTATCTGAAGTAATTCTAATGTAAAATAAGTATTTTTTTTTTCCTTAAATAGGCACTTCTTGTCACTCATATTATAATACATGCTCCTGTCCTTAATTTGAAATGCAAGTTACCTTTACAACAAACCAAATTCCTGTATATAGAGAAATCTATTTTTGGCCTCAAACTAGGGGTCAGCAAACATTTTAGGTCAGATAATGTTATAACCAGTCAATTCTGCCATTGTAGCATGCAAAGCATATGCTGATATGTGAATTAATACACATATTTGTTTCAAAGGACACTGAAATTCAAACTTCATATAATCTTCACATGTCATAAAGTATTGTTTTTCTCTTTTCCCCAAAATATTTAAAAATGTAAAAACTACCCTTAAGTCACAGGTCACATTAAAATAGATGGCCAGTGGTCTGGTGTGGTGGTGCATGTCTGTAATCTCAACAATTTTGGAGGCTGAGGCAGAAGGATTGCAAGTTCAAGGCCAGCCTTAGCAATTTAGTGAGCCCTAAGCAACTCATTGAGACCCTGTCTCAAAATAAAAATAAAAAGGGCTGGGAACGTTGTTCAGTGGTTAAGTGCTTCTGAGTTCAATTCCTGATGCCAAAACTAAAAAATAAGATAAATAAAAATATAGGTGGCCAGCCAGATATGGCAACCCCAGCTCTAAGTCCTTAATTTTTTTTAATACTTCTAAAAGAAAAAAAAATTTTTTTCTTTTCCTTTAAACAGGGTCTTATTGTGTTGCTCAGGCTGGTCTGGAACTCGTGCATGTACCACAAAGTCCAACTTATAATTCTTTTTTAAAAAATATTTTTAGTTGTTGATAGACCTTTATTTTGTTTATTTATTTATATGTGGTACTGAGAATCGAAACCAGTGCCTCATACATGCTAGGCAAGTGCTCTATCACTGAGCTACAACTCCAGCCCTAATTCTTTTATACTTCTAAAATATCAAAAAATAAAAACATGAGATAAAAAGATTAAAAATGATAAAAGGGCATACAGTGAAGTCTCTCTTCTATCCTATAGTCTAAGTTCCCTTCTCTGGTTTTGGTGTATCCTTCCAAATCTAATGCCACTATTAAACATCTTGGCATGAACAGCCTTAGCATATAGGACTTAAATATATGTTATTTCATCTATAGGATAAATCCCTGGAAGTGAAATTCCTGGTTAAATTTACTTAAATTATTCATTGCAACACATAATTGGTCAGTATTTGCTGCTTCCAACTTGCCTAAACCTACTTCCCACGTTCCCAATTGCTATATTTTGGATCTGAAATGTAACCTAAAAGCCCATGTGTTGAAGGTGTGATCACTAGTCTGTGGTGCTATTGGGAGGTGGTAGAACCTTTAGTAGGTGGGGCCTAGTGGAAGGAAGTTTAGGTCTTTTGGGGCCTGCTCTTGAAGGGGTTATTGGCATTCCAGTTGTTTCTTGTCCTTCTTGCTTCCTGCCTATCACAAGGTAGGAAGCCACCTCTGCCATGGGCTTCCATCATGACATACTGCCTTGCTATAGGCCCCAAAGTGACAGGCCAATTCACTATGTACTGAAACCTGTGAGCCAAAATAAACCCTTCCTCCTTTTAAGTTGATTATTTCAAGTATTTTGTCACAGCAACAGAAAGCTGATTAAAAACCAACTTTGAGATCCTTTTTGGTTCGTAAATGTAGGTATTCAGTGCTGTGTGACATGCACCTTTCTTATTATTAGCAATTACCTGTCTGATGTGGGAGGAAAAAACCTGACTTTGAAATCATGCTCTAGATTATTAAATTTTTGATTCATATTATTAAAGATTTTAAAATTCTACCTACTCTAGCTTATGCATCCTTTCTTAACACTCCATTAAATTTCTTAGCTATAATTATCTGTGACATGGAGTTGAGAAATAAGTTAACTGTTTTCTTATACAAAATACTTGAAAGTACTGTGCCCAGCACTTTCTATGTTTTAATAGTTAAAAACAGACTGCTTTTTTTCATGGCAGCCTGTATGTATTCAACAAGTGGGATAAGCTCCCAATTTAAGATAACTAACATTTATTTTAAGGTTTTCTTTTGTTTCTTACATTAACTCCTTTAGGCTTAGTTTTTGTTTTTGTTCATTCTGGGGTTCCACTGATTTCCCACAATTATTTAGTGCTTTTTGTTTTCAGTTCACATTATAAATATTCTAATACCTTCATACGTATGGAAATAACTATATTCCTGTAACAATTCACATTTGTAACAACCCTATAATTCAATTTTACATTTATACTTAGTATTCATGTAGCATGAAAATAACAATTTAAATTCATTGTTTTATAATCCCATGATTTTTCAATCCATTTTTAGTTATATTCTTGTGGTGTTTTGTTTCCCCTAACAACAACTACTTAATTTCCCCTAACAACTACTAACTTGAGTAACACAGTTCCTCCTTGTTATACCAAACTTCAGAGTCAGATCATAATCAGATCTAACAGACTTATAAACAAGTAATGACCATCTAAAGAAGACTGTTATAGATGTGTAATACACATATATATAAATAATAAATAATAATATGGTAATGGAATCTCCTAAGTCTTGAACTCATAATAGTTCAACCATTTTTAATCATCCTTAATATTAGATTATTTAACAAAAGCTTCTATTACTTTTTTTTTTAAAAAAGGAATGTTCCGCATTAGTTAAAATGTCATTTGCTGCTTACCTTATGATTCAATCATTCTACATCTAACAAATTCATCTACATGCTCACCAAGAATGTTCATAACATTCTTAATATACAAATACATAGTATACAAAAATTGGAAACACAAATGCTCAACAGAAGAGTAGTCATATAGAGTGGAATATAGCATAGCAATAAAAAGCACCACTGACACCATACTATCACAAGCAATGGAATTTCATTAATATGAAGCTCAAAATAGACAAAATTAATAGCTGATGAGAAGAGTCAAAATACAGATTGGGGATAGGAGTATAAGTGACTTGAAGAAGCAGAGGATGATTGAAATGTTTAATCAAAATGTTCACACTGTAATGTTCAGTTATAATATGATGTATATAGCGGTTAAACAGATAATGAATATGTAAAAATTAATTGAGTTATACAATTAAGGTTTATGTACTTGTTGACTTAATATGTTATTTTATACAGCTACAAAAAAGTTAAGGAAAAAAAAATGTAATTTCTAAACCGCTTGGAACTAATTGCACTTATGTTCAAATCATCTGAGCCATACATATTGCAAATCCAGCAGCTTTTGTATTCTTTTAATCACATAACAACTTTAAACAACTAGAAAGAATACAAAATGAATGCCAACATTCTCTGTCATAAAATACTTGCTTTCTCACTTCCAAGACCAAAGGTACTTTTAAAATACATTAATGATATAAAAATATCATTAATCTCACCAGAAATGAAGGCCCAGGAGCCTTCAAATGACAGTGAACTGCCACGACATTGCATACATTATCTCAAAAGCAGGCTAGAAAATACCTTCAGGTTTAACAAGGGCTTAAACGGAAAAGCTTCGAATTTATGATCATATTGTCATGCTGTCAATACCATCACCACAGAAGGAGCATCGCTTTCATGTTTTACAAATTTCTTCTCTGTCACTTGCTCCAGAATAGAGTGATTTTCAAGGAGAATTTTTTGACAAGGCCAGAGGCTCCCTGTCCCGTGGGATGCTCGACCCCCCTAATTCCTACAAAACGTGCATCTTTTAAAGGCGTTCCTTCTGATGTCTGTCAAGAGATGGGAGTGCTGCTGTCAGAGAAAACGATTTTAACCCCCCCGCCGAAGTGGTAACAGATGACTAAAAAGTTTATCCACCGAGAGGAGATAGTAAGTTTAAAAAAAAAAAAAAAAGTGAACAAAACAAAACAAAACACTGACACGCAAACCAAAGGTCCCTGGCAGCACCGGTCTCGGAAAAAAACTGCAGCTTTCCCCTGAAACCCGAGCGGACTCCAGACGGCTGTCCGCGAAGCTACCACACAGGGACAGGGCCCCGGAGGGTTCGTCTGATGTGACCTGACAGGGACCAGTGCCCGCAGACCCCAGCCCGCGTTCCGGTTGCCTGCACCGCTCCGCCCGAGCCGGCGGGAGTCTCAGGCGAGGCCGGGTACTCACCGCGCCGGCCCTCTCGGTCCACCGCGGCCACCAAGCCACCCCCACCTCCGGAACGGCGGCCGCACATGGGCGGCGCCCCGCGCACTGGGGCCGCCGCGGCCTCAGCAGCCCACCCGCCGGGCGCGCCGCCGCGCCAAGGACGGCCACTTCCGGCGCGCGCGAGGAAATGAGACTACAGCCGCATGCCCCGCCCACTGCCTCGGACCCGCTCAGGACTGGCATGCTAGAATTGCTGAATTTAAAAAATACATATGGGTGTGGACTTCCAAAATCTACCTGTGGAGGCCCGCAAAGTGCCCGGGCTAGGAAACCACTGTGGCTGGAGCAAGCACCTGCAGCGACTGGTGTGAGTCCCGGCCTGTAGGCTGGCTTCGCAGATACCCCTGCCAGCTCTCCGTTGGCAGCGCTGCCCTGCCCTGGTAGCCCTGTCCCGGGAGCCCCAAGGAGCCACGAGTGCAGATGTAGTCGCTGAGTTGAAGTCTCCAGAGGTATCTGAGCATCCTCAGGAATGTTGGCCTGAGCAGTAGGCTCCAGCCAAGAGGGCTCTGGGCTGCCAGTGATCTTTTGGGTCTAGTCATCCCATTTCACTGGACTGGAGTTTCCTCATCTGTTAAATGAGACAGCTGAAGTGTACTTTCTGGAAAATAGATTTAAAGTTCAATATCGTATGATTTTAGTAAATGAGGAAAAACCCTCTCCCATGCCTCCTTCATTCAAGTGATTGTTCCAGGAACATCCTTAAGGCACTTTGTCCTCTAGAGTACCAGACTGAGCCGGTGAGAGGAGCACCATAGCACCAGGGCCTGCTTGTGTCTGGGCAGAACACTGTGCTAAAAACCAGCTCTGGGGTTTATTCCACCCTGGCTGTGATACCGCGGTTATCGGTGAGGAGTCCTGCTTCCTCACATGTTGAAGTCTGAACCTTAGAGAGGCAGGAGGCAAGCATATAAAGCAGGTTTATTTAAAAAGGGGTAACATAGGGCTGTAGCTCAGTGGTAGAGCGCTTGCCTTGCATGCGTGGGGCCTTGGGTTCGGTCCTCAGCACCGCATAAAAATAAATAAAATAAAGGTATTGTGTCCGACTTCAACAATAAAAACAAAATAAAAAATTAAAAGGGGGTGTGGTGGGTAACAGAGATTTCTCCCAGGAGGGAGAAGGGTCCATAGCTGGTATCCTGCTATCCCCAGAAGCGAGGTTTTCTGCCCTTTTTATATGTCCTAGGCTTCCTTTGTTCTCCTGCCCTCTTCCCCTAATCTTTCTCCTTCCTGAGTATGTGATTAGGCCTAGGAAAATGCTGGTGGGATGGCTAAAAGGTGGGAAACAGGTGAGTTGAAGGGGGAAGGGCAGGTGGTGCAGTCAAGGACACATTAACCACCTTATAGCTCCCTGTAGGGAGGGGCAATTCCTGGGACAGGTTACCTTGGCAACAAGTTGGAGCAGGGACTGGTTCTTGATAAGGGTGGAAGAAAGACTCTGAAGGAATTAACACTTCAATCCTTCAGGGGACAGTCTCCAACTTCCCAGACTCACCCAAAATTAGCCTCCTTGAAGCAACCTGACTCGATTTACCTATCTATGCTGTCTGTCTAATTCTGGCTTCAGGACTTAGCCTCTCTGAGACTCAGTTTACTCAGCTGTGTTTTGGAAACAAAAATAATATGTGTTCCTAAAATTGTTGTGAGGATTAAATGCACTTTTGTATTTGAAATATCTGACACTGTACCTGGCAGGTGGCAGGCAATTGGTGCTTATTACCATCATTAAATGCATTAGTTAGAGTGGAAGGCTAGGGTAACTGTAGAGTACATCCTATAGAAATAGCATTCCAGGGGAGGAGGATTTGTTCTAATCACAGCTGTCTTTGTTAGCTGACATGTGCTGGGAAGTTTTAGCCCAGATGTTCTTGAATGCCCTGTGGGAAATCCTTCAAGAGTCTGGACCACCAAGCCAGGCTTGCTGAATATCCATTCTATTCCAAACTTCAAGGTCTCAATCCTCTAGTGTCATTTCTGAGCAACTGTAAAATTTTATAGTTCCAACACCTTTTCCCCCTCAACCCAGCCTAAGAATAAAGAATTAATCTGGTCATAGACAGCATTGGTCTGTGAGCTCTGGGAAATAAGGACTATGTCTTTTTCCTCTCTTAGCACGTAGTATTTGATAAATTCAGTTGTTTAAGAACATGCAGGGATCTCTGTGGTGCCCACTATCTCTGCCACTTGACCAGCTCCTTGAGCTGAAGGCATGTCTGATTACATTAACTGCCCCTCCTGATTAAATTGCTTAGTTGGCTGGTTATGCTCTAGTATGCAGATCAGCTTAGTGTGAATCTACTTAGTGTAAGCTAAGTGTAAAGCTCTAGTGTCTCTATTCTCTGATTCTCTGATGCTGCCTTTAATATTTATCCCACAAGTCTGATGATCCAACTTGGGAGTGTGAATATAAAGGTGTGTTAGTAATAATTCTCTCTTGGGAGAATTAGAGGGTGGGGAAACTCTAGTAAATGGTACTGAACACAACATTGGTAGGTTTAAGAGATTAAAACAAAATATAAAGTATTAATACAAGTAAGTATAAATGGCAGCTCACTGAACTGTTAGAGATTTGAAGTTCTCAGTCCAAGTCTAAGTCTATTATATGTCCCTTGAATATGATACTGTATTTGATGTTTCCCCGAAATGATTGTTAAGAAGTCCATAGAATACAGGGGCCTCGGGACCTCACTCTTTAGTCTCATGTCCAGTAATAGCAAATTTTTAGGCTTGCTCTTTCCTTCTGAATCCTTAAAATAGGACCAGATTGTCCATTCCCATGAGGGCACATATATAGCCTTTCCTACTCTCTCTGGCATCCCCATGCCAACCAAGTACAGGGTCTGATCCTATTGTTAGCATTCTTTGCATCTTCTGGGATTTGTAAATGAATGAATGAATGCTAGTAAACCTTCTAGAAGGAAAAGTCTAATCTGTGATAACCAAATTCAAACCTCCCTCACTTCTTGGTGTGTTGCAATGCAAGATAGAACACTCCTCTCTGTGTCTAGCATGTTCTTTCCTTGTCCCCCTCCACAAGCCATAGACACTGAGTTTTTGTCTCATTTATTGTATTTGCTTTCCTTCAATTATCCTCCTTCTTCCTGATCATACCATATAGCCACATTTGTAGAGAACACAGTCAGCAAAAGGAGCTTCTCAAGTGTTTTCTATACCTTGTTTTTCCTGCTTTTTTTTTTTGTGTGTGTGTGTGGTGTTGGGGATTGAACCCAGGCCCTTGTACACATGCTAGGAAGGCACTCTACATGAGCTATTCCTCTAGGCCCCTCTGAATCTTTTTTTAATTATCCTAATATCCCTGTGGAGTAGGTCAGAGTCTTCAGTTTAGAGTGAAGAAAACAAAAATTCAGAGAGGAAAATACCAAAACTATTCTAGGATGGGACCTGGCATGAAATCAAAGTAACTGGTGAGGCTCAGTTATCACCTATTTTTAAATGCTATTTGAATCACTGATTAAAATTGTTTGTTTGTGGATTTGTTGTTGTTGTTGTTGTTTTGTACCAGGGATTGAACTCAGGGGCACTCAACCGCTGAGCCACATCTCCAGCCCTATTTTGTTTTATTTAGAGACAGGGTCTCTCTGAGTTGCTAGCGCCTTTCTGTTGCTGAGACTGGCTTTGTACTCTAGATCCTCCTGCCTCAGCCTCCTAAGCCACTGGGATTACAGTTGTGTGCCACCACACCCCACGATTAAAATTGTTTTTAAAGCAAAAGAGGTTCTTCCATCAACGGATTTAAATCATTAGCTTTTATGATCTTTTTTACATAGCCAAGTTGAGTACCAAAAAGTATGTCATTTGAATATGGAGGGTATATAATATATAATTCAAATACATATATGCGTACATGTGGACATAAGTATACACACATATATATTTTTCATTATATAATTCAGGCAGATTGTTGGTGATATACTGGGGGTTGTAAAATAAGAAGTTACCTTGTATGAGAATACAAATCATAAATATGTAGTTTTAAAAAAACTTCTCCAATAACATTCAATCTGAAGGCCTACCATCTCCCTCCCCCCCTTTTTTAACTATAAAGCTTTTCTGTTCCACTTCCTGACTGTGAATCTCTACCAAAAGCAAAGGATGGTGACCAACTCCTTTGCTATAGCAAATTCAGAATAAATAGCCTTTACTTGTTCTTCTTTGTGTGGACTTCATTTGTTTCCAGTTTTCCTTGGTGGCCCCAATATACATTCTATACTGCTTCTCACCAAAGACCCTAGCCTTCCCCATGTCTTGGCTCCCCATGTCTTCCTTTTGAACACTACTTCCTTTGTGGTCAGGGCACCAAGGTACAGAGTATCTTGTTTGCTTTAGATAATATCTGAAGCACTTTAGGAGTAGCTTTTCAAGACTTGTTGTCATAGAGACCCTAATTCTGTAAATCACCAAGGCTGAAAATTATGACTCAGATATGAGTTCCATACTCAAGCCATGGTCTCAGTCCATTTTGTGCTGGTATAACAGAATACCCGAGACTGGGAAATTTATAATGAGTGAAAATTTATCTTCTGGGTTGGAGATGTAGCTTAGTGAAAGAGTGCTAAACATGCAAGGTAGCATAGCAGGGTTCTATTCCTCACCACATATAGGTAAATTCTACAGATTTTTACAGTTCTGTAGGCTAGAAAGTGCAGTACTATAATGTTACAATGGCAATTAAATATCAGCATGAGTTTGGGAGGAGACAAATATTGAAACCATAATGAAATATAGCAACCAACCCAGGAGACCAAACCACAATATCACAACTGTTGGCCCGGAACAAAGAGAGATTGGTCAATAACTGTCAGCTTCCTTATTTTTTGCTTCATTTCCAACTAAAAACCAAAGAAAGCAACTGTTTCTTAAACCAGTAACAGTAAGATGCCTTTTTGCTAATTAACCTGCCTACAGCTTCCCCAACCAACCTCTAGTCACAGCATACCTGAAGCTTTCTTCACACACCTTGATCCCCCCCACCCACTATAAAGCATCCCCATTCTTTTGCCTGCCTTTGAATCTCTGCCAAAAAGTGA